TTAAGACTCCATTTTTGTGAGCCAATTTTCCATGTAGTTTGGATTAAATGATGTATGAAGTACGTGACTATCAACGTATGTGGCTTTATTGAGTTTTCCAATGTTGAGTTTTTGAACTTTTTATTTTTCATAGCATCCATTGAAGCATCTTAATCAAGCTCATGGATTGATATATGTGTTAAGTGTGGTATGCATTTGTGTAAATATTTGGCATGTTCATGTGAGCATTTACCGATTTGCATTCATAAAAAGGAAAGATGCATCTAATCCATCCTAATCATATAATTGTGATTTAGGTGATTTATGTCGCTTTATTGAGTTTCCCAAGGGGTGACTTCAAGTGAATTCATTGATTACTCAATTTCTAGATAATTATGGTTAGGAATTAGAGATGAGTTAACTAACTTGTCTTAGTTAATGAGAGAGTAGAATCATTTGAATTACAAGTAAATGCCGCAAGTAAGAACCCAAACCTAGTGTGTAAAACCCAATCTCAAGAGGTCCACCATCTCATTGCATTGAATTCATCTCAATTTACCTTTTCAATCCAAAAACAATTTATTTTCCCTTACATTAAAATAGTTTTAATTAAAATGAAATTCAAAATCCCCAACTTTGTTTTCTTGCATTTTCATAGCATTTAGTTCCTAGGTAGTTCAATAATGCTTCTTAAAAGACGGCCCGAGGTTGTACCTTGCTGCAATGCTAGGTTAAAAAAAAAAAAATCTTGCATTTAACCTCTAAGGCCACTTAGTATAGTGTTAAATCACCACCTTATTCCTCTGACTTGAAAGATTGTTATAAATGGAGGCAAGCAAGAGATGGTTGCTTCTCTGTGAAATCTATTTATGATTTATCTTAGGTAATAGAGGAAGAGAAAACAATCGGTGGGGGGCTTATGGCAATGGTTGACTCTTGAAAAGTGAAGTACTTTCTTTTCCAAGCTTCTCGTAAGAGAGTGACTACTAATATGCCTAGAGCAAAGAGAAGTTGTTCAAATATCAGTGAAGGCTCTTTTGAGTGCCATAGAGAGGAGAATATCCCTTCATGTATTGAGAGATTGTTGTAGAACATGCTTTCTAGTTTCTTTTCTGGAAATGTGCATGTATGGTTCACTTGGAACTCTAAACACAGTCCAAGGTGAGGAAAATTTAGAAATTATAACAGGATCAGAGTTTTTGGGTTAGGATGTTGGTTGCTTTGGATCACTCGTTGTAAGTTTGTGCTTGCAGGGAAATGCACCACTACAATGGAACTCTCTCACAGATGTATTCACCTCCTCATAGAGAGCACTTTGAATAACTCTTTTCATCATGAAGTCTTTAAGTTGAAGCTAAATAGAAAGTGGGTAGACACTACCACCACATAATGCTATTTGAATTGATGTGGATGACTCAATCAGATAGAATCAACAAGCATCTTGTGGGGGACTTGTTAGAGATGCTACAGGAGACTGAATAATGGGATTTAAAAAAGCTATTGGTTGGGGCTCTAGAACAAAACCCAAATTAATAACTATTCAGGTAGGATAAAAGGTAGCCAAGCAATCAAGCTATGCTAAAGCTATGCTTTATTTAGACTACTTGGAGGCATTTAATATGGTGATGAGAGTACTTGAGATCACCCTTTGAGATTGACTATTAAAGTGACTAGGGGGTTGATTTTTGGAAACCAGGATGTACTTTAAATCACACTAATAGGTCCATACTAGGTTATGCTAACTTCTAGGTAAAGCAAGCACATGGTAATTATTATGATGTTGTTCCAATTCCAAGAGTGCTGGTGGAGTTCAGGAAAATGCCTTGACAAGATAGAGAATGCTTTAGGTTTTAGAAGAATTGACTCTTTTGAGGGAACTGCATAGAGTGATCTTTTCTTCTTAGCTTACTTTTCAACTTTCGACTTGTCTTTTTATTAATAAGCCCTACGTTTTTCATTTTCCAATTTAGCATTCCTTTTTTTCAGATTAGCAATAGAATTCTCAATTTATCTATTATTATCTTAACTTTAGCTTTAATTTGGTTTCTTTTTCAACACACGAACTTCTATACATGACCTTAATCAGCCTTACAAAATGTTCACAAATTTGAAATCAATTCTATCACACCCATTTTCATTAAATAAGAATTTTTCCCTTTGTCGCTTTAAGCAAGATGTTGGGCACATTGCATGTTTCTTTTTTATGTCAGAATGATCAAAATGCATAAGATTAATCAACCTACGAAGCCACAACATTTGGCTTTAGTGATACTTGTGAAGGAAATCAATTTCACTTCACTTACAAGTGACAGACACCGGGGGTTAAATTACAACCACAAAATTCAACGCTAAAAAAAAAAAATATCAGCCCTTTGAAAGTGGTGAAAATAAAGCAAGCAAGCAAACAAAAAAGTAAACCTTGAAAAAAAACACATGGCTGTAGGTTCAACGTTATATCTGATTAAACTGATACCAATGTTTGTTTGAAGAATATATGATGTTTTAAGTTTGTTTTGTGTTATATTTGATTGCAATTGGAATTTCTGGGTTGCAGGTCATTGAACTTATATTGGATTAGATTTCCAAGCGCTTAGAAGGAGTTTTGGGGCAAAAGTGTATGATAATTAAAAGGAATAAGGAGAGCACCCAACACTTGAAATTTTTTGGTTTTTATATTTTGTAGAAATTTTATTTCATAGCATTTATGTCTTGAACTATTATCCACTGTTAAGTTTGACCATAAAAAACATTGGTTAACCAGTGTAATTTAAGGGTCAAACTTAACAGCAAATGACGGTTAGGATATTTTTGCTACAAAAATAAACTTTTAGAGCATGTAAGAGCCTAGAAAAACTTTCAAGTATTGGGACCTTATCCCTAATTAAAAATTATCTACTTATTAGGCTGATTATAACAATATGGCATATCTAAAAAGTGGATAATCTTTTTGTATAAAATGTCATAGTCTTTTTTTTTTAATAAAATATCACAACCAGTTTAAAAAAAGCAATAGACTTTCTAAACCAGTCTAGACTGGTCACAACTTCAATGTAAACTAGGGCTGTTTAAAGCCAACCCATATATCCTGGTCCTGGCCATATTGGGAAAAGATAGGCCTATCCTAAAATTTTTCGGGACAAGATGGGATGCAGGATGGGATCGTCTTATCTTGGTAGTGTGTGTGTGTATATTTAATTTTTATCATATTTTAACCCAAGGCCAAAACTCTTATTCCCTTTCTCTTCTCACACAAGCCAAGGCACCACCAGTTTGATCCTCCCCTGATTCTCTCAAATCTCAGCATCTTATCCCCTCGAAGAATCTGAAGAAGATACAAGAGGTTCAGGGCTTTAGGCGTTTAGCTCTCTCAACTCTTGCGTCTCAAATCTCTCATACTTCACGAGTCGACAGTGAAATTTGAAATCAACGACTGATGCCTCTCCTCTCCAGCCCTCCATTTAAGGTTCTAATCTCACAGCTTCACGTCCATCGTCGATTTTTCTTGGGCTTGGCAAGTTCGCAGCTTCCCTCCAGTCCGTCGTCGACTGTGTCTTCCACTCTTTCCTCTGCTTTTTCATCCCTGTCAATTTCCCTGCTTTCTCAGTGCTCGAGTCTTTGAAAAATAAGTTACCTGTGGATTGTGATATTCCGGGGTTGTAATATTGCTTGTGAATGATGATATTTGGTTGTGAAATTGCTGAAAAAATTAGTTAAAGATGGTTTTTCTTTTGGGGCTTCTATGCGCAGGAAATGGGGAAATGAATATTACATTTAAGTCTTTCTCAAATTCTGGTTATAGTTTGAGCGTGTAATTGTGGCGTTGAAATACTAATTTTAATTAGTTTGGGGTTGTAATGGTATGTAATTCTTTTGGATGTTTGGTCCTTAAAATAAAAAAAAAGAAAAAAGAAAAAGAGATCTTCCAGTCCCGTCCCGTCCCGATTGGGACCAGGATAACCCCTAGACGGGATTGGGACAACACCCCTAATCTAAACTATCAATTTTATTTGGTCTAAACCTTTTTCCTACTAGTGGTCGGCTTAAGTAGATAAAATTAAATCATGATAAATAATAATAATAGTTTCCAATCTCTCTTTTGTCGATGTTGTCTTTACATTTCTAGCCTATTCATTGTTGAATTTCAAGTGTTTATTGTTTTATGCTTCAAAATCTCTTTTAGAAACCGTGTTCATGTTTTTTTCCACTTGTAGCAGTGAAAATCATCAAGTATTCTCGCAATTAAGTTTCTGAAGTTAAATATATTTATATTTACACTTATACTTTGTTTTGCCGTTAAAAAAAAAAAAAATTAAACAACAACAAATTTTGGAAAATACCTTATTCACCCTTCTTTGGTGTTGTTGCCATTTCTAACAAAATAACTAAAAAAAAGCATGCTAAGGAATATACAGGTGTTATGGTAAAAAGGAAAAAAAAAAAAAGGTTAAGATACAAATTTGTACTAAAAGTTTTCACTTAAAAGCTTTGGGCAACTAGAGCTTTTTTGTGCAGGTTTGTACCAAAAGTTTTTAAGTTATAGTACTATTGTCTTCTATCGTTAAAAATGTTAGTAGTCAACGTTACTATTTTAATGGTCAATATTAGTTTTTTAACTGTATGAGTCAATATTGCTATGATTTTAAAGTTTCGGATAAACTTGCATATAAAAAAACTTATAGGTACTCAGTACTCTTGAATGAAAACTTTCATGGAAAATTTGTACCTTAATCCAAGGATATAAAAGTGAATACGGTAATGAGATCGAACTAATTCTTTTTAAAAGATCCATAATTATATCTTGATGATCATATCCTAAATTTCATGATTCAAAGATCTCATCAATTATATGGTATTCTCGGATAATTAACAAATTCAACTAATTTTAAAAGAAACCGTAGACATCTCCAATATTTGGTCTCCAAGAATCACTTATAATTAGGAATATTTTCACTTATTTATTCTTCCAAAAACTCATCTTCCTTCCTGTTAAAACTTTAAATATTAGGGCGTGACAAACAAACTTTTAAAATATTGAAAATTCACTACCCATTTGATAGCGTGCTATTATCTGAACCTAAACAACAACAAAACAAAAAAGATAACGTACTATCAGTCTATCACTATCGCAACACACACACACACACATGTATATATATTTATTTAAATAACAAAATAGGTGTAATAAATTATTTAAACGAATTGAATGGTCTATACAAGCACATGCACATATGGAATTCACCAGTTTAATGAGTAACCACATTACCAACAAGTTGTATGCTTTTCTTTTGAAACTCAATGTCGTCATTGGGTGGATCAACCGCTAAACGGCCGTATGCCAGCTTGCCTTGGTAATACTTGACCAGAACCATATAAAACGACACAGCAAAAACGGCAACCCCAATAAAGAACCAGCTGAACTGAATATTAACAAGCGAAAGAGCTCTTCGAAGTGCCTCTTCATTAGAACATCTCACCACAACGTGGCCTTCCTCTGGGTTCATAAAACAGCCTTTAGGAATCAACCCAGGAGTCCAAAGCACAAAACCCATGACCATAAGCCACACACCTTGGAACATTATACTAACCGATCTCAAGAAGCTAACTAAGAAACTGCTTGGCAAGCCAATTCCTATAAGCGTTGTGGTCAAAGAAACAAGAACCAGAAACTGAGCCAGGAGGTGGTATTGGCCTTCTGGTCCATTGTGATCAGAAGTGTGAAAGTGAATGAGAAACAGTTGCTGAGCAAAAGCTATGGCTGCTAACAATTGGGTTAGTTCTCTCTGTGCTTTAGAGGAAGTGAGATCTAAAGCTATGGCGAATGAAGCATAGATGAAGAAGGTTAGGGACATAGATGAATGTTCCAAGTTGTGAAGGTGTGTGGAAGGGATGCTTCCGTCTGGGTCGAATGGTTGGTGATGAGAAGGAGAGATAAAAAGTTCCATGGCTATGAAGATTGAGCTGCTAACCATGATGAAGATAAGTTCTAAGTATTTGAACTTTCGGGTGGGAAACCAGAAAGTTGTACAGTAATTGTAAGACATGGGGCTGATAGCGTGAAGCTTGATGTGGTTAAAGAGGTGCCACAAACCAACTATTATGAATCCAAACCCTAAAGCTACGTGCCCATCCATTCAAAATAATGTGGGAATTGGGTGTGGGAAATTTTGAACACAAGATAGATAACAAGGATTTCAAGTTTTGAGAGAAGAAAATGAAGAATCTTTATGCTTAGTTCATCTATATATCCTTGGAAATAAAGAACTGGGAAAACTTACATATCGTCGATCCTTATATAAACTTGCGCTGAAATAATAGGGACTTGGTTTGGTTGAAAAGGCCGCGTGAGATGATATGAAATAATGCGACGTATAATGGATGCTAAATAATTATTGTCTCTCTTCTGTGTGAAACTCACACAACACGCAAGTCTCACACTTTCCTTCTTTTTCTTGATGAGAGCCCCTTTCCACGAATACAAGCTAAGGGATCTAAAACTTAAAGCAAAATAATGTTGGATAAGAAAATAATGTATTTTAAGCTTGTTCGAAAAGGACATAACTTTTTGGTGGGCACTGCCCATCGAAGACACTCAGAACAATGAAAGTTGAACTAATAATTTTGATTTCATTATTTAATTAATCAATTTTTGAAAGATATTAATAATTAATGTTGTCTATAATCCTCTGTGGAAAGCATCATACTCTGCTTAACAACATTTTTTTCAGCCAGATAACAAGGCTAAGTTCAGAAAATATGAATAGCCTTGGGACTTTTTTTTATTATACATTTAGCTAATGATGATGATCAATTTTCCATAAATATTTGTAGGAATAATATTAGTTGCAAATGTATAGAACTGGATCCTTATTAAAAGATGAGTACAAACATATTTTCCCATATATTTGTAGTTGAAATGATATTTTTAATATATTAACAAGGGTTGGATCTAGCAGAAAGGGTAATTTTTATATTTTTACAATGCAGCAAATCAATATTCAAATGAATGTATTCATATTTAGTAATCAACAGTATCTTGAATAAGATTGCATCTAATAGTAGGATCTGTTGTTATGAAAAATAAAATTTTATACTCAATTTTATTTTTTTAAAATCAATCAATTTGATATCATTGAAATCTGTACTTCCTTTAAACTGATTTTTGAGACGTTTTTTGGGATTGAAAAAGATCAACTCAAATACGGCACGAGCTTTTAAAACCTTGAAATGTGACGTAGAACATTAAATAGACTTAAAGTGTATAAAATTATTTAAACTTTTTTCTTCTTAAATTACAGAAATCTCTAGTTCTCTTCATTTAACTATATTAATTATTATTCCGTAAGTGGGGACCACATTACCCTTTTCTGTTGTGAAAATAGGTGAAGTAAGTTAAACTCCAAATGAAACGCCCACGGAGTAAGTAGGTTCATGATGCGACAAAGCGCGTATGAAGCCAAGAGAGGAAGGATGGGCGAAAATTTCCACGGTCGAGGGTACGTAAAAGTTCGTAATGGTACGTGTTCAGAAAGGAATAACAAAGTCAGAGATCAATTAAGCATACTATTGCCTTGCACGGCGCGGCTGATAGCCGATCGGTATTGATGCCGCGAGTTTTGCAAGGAATAATAAAAGGCAAATATATAAATTATGTGTAAATATGGTTTGTTTACGTCAGATATAAATATGTTCAACTTTTAGCAATTATACATATGTATGTTTGCGTGCACGCATGTAATAAACGTTTTGTATCATTGGGCCAATATAATGCCCCGCATTTTACCAATAAATAAATAAATGAATGAATGAATAGGTAAATGTTTTGTATCATTTCTTTTTTTTCCTACAGAGTGTTTTGTATCATATTACATCTGTTTGCGGGTTAATAGATTGGTCACTGGTCTAAAGAGTATTTTATGTGCACTGTTTGAGAGTTGCTCTCACATTAATACATATATAGCACCGGCCCTCTTTCAACGTTATTGGGTTTAGGGCATTAACTGTCCCTCTTCTCAGTTGTTCTCGCCTGTGTTATCTATCCTCTGTTTTTTTTTTTTTTACTTCCCAAATGTTTTTTCTTATTTCTTTTTATTATAAATTCTACATATAAAATGAGTGACAATATTTAATAATTCATAAGCAAAAAAATTATTTTTTTATATTTTTTCAAAAAAAAATTGTATTCAAATTAAAAAAAGAAACTACATAAATTTCAAAGTATTTTTGTTCTTTTGAAAAATTGTAAAAAAATTCAAAAATGCATTTTTTCCCTATAAGATATCAAAATGTAACTCATTTTATCTAAAATTTAATAATAAAAAAACAAGAAGAAAACCAATTGGAAGGTGAGAAAATAGTTAGGGGCAACAAAAGGGAGGGGAGTCAGGTGACACCTCGAATCCAAATCACTTAGCATTAAGAACAATTTACTACATCTGAAATCTCTAGAACTACTCAATAAAGAATAGTCTGGCAAGACATTTTTCTGCTTCGCTGAGATTGTGTTCTTCAGTTTCTGTTTCTTCTAACAATTTTAGTTTCTTCAGATAGGGAAAATATCTATTCAGTCCCAAAAGAGGGAAATATGTAATACTCCTCCGGTCCTTATTATAAGACCCCATTTGACTTTTTATTTGGTCCTAATTATAAGACCCCAATCCATTTTGTCTCTTATATTTATGCATTTTTTTCCAAGATAATCCTTCTAATAATGATAGTTTTAGCCAATATACTTAATTAGCAAGGATATTTTAGGAATGACAACACTTATTTATTATAAATAACCAACTTAACTTACTTCCTTAATCTCCTCAAATAAGTCAATTGGGTCTTATAATTAGGACCGGAGGAGTATATCTTTTTCTTGGCTTCTGCACTTATTCTGTACTCTAATACTCTAATCTTAATAATAATTGTCTTTTTATTGGGAAAAAAACACAGACAATGATTCAGGATTAATATAATCTTTGGTCCATCAAATTTACTCTTATTTTGATTTTGGTTCTTCAAGATTCAAACCACAGGTTTTGGTCCCTCGATAGGCAAATGGTCTAGATTTTTATTTAATTATAAGAACCAATGTTCTAAATGAAAAAAATCTTAAGAGACCAAAACTTATGATTTGAAATTTGAGGAACTAAAACCAAAATGAATACAAATTTAAAGGACTAAAAATTATATTAGCTCATATTAAAATGAGATAACTTTAACATAGCTGAGTAATATTTTAGAGAGATATAATCAATTACTTACATAAAAATCAATTTGGATCATATAATAAAAAGAATGAAGAAAATTTGTAAAGTTGAACTGCAAGTCTGAAACCGCTATGAGAAATGATTACACGAATCTTGGAAGCTTCGCATTTCTGTCGCATTAATTTTAAAAAGTTGGACGTTGTAAACATGAAGCAGGAAGTTTCCCTTCTTGGTGGTGAAGGAAAAAATAAAAAAGGAAGCTTCCCTTTTTAATTCGAAAGAATGAAAAACGTTAACAAATTCATCCTTCACCTATCAACAACTTTCTTCTATTCCAAAAACATTTATCACAATAATATTCTGACTGATTTCCAATAATCATATACAGTACTATATGTTTATATGTACATCACATAAAATAATATAAATTAATTATATATATAAAAATATAAAGAAAAACATAATTCAAGAGAAGTCACATTTTGCCCTAGTAGTGTGATTAAAACCCCCCATTATCACCATCAAGTGATTCAAAAAAAACCCTGTCACCAAAGCAGAACAGGCATGGCAAAGGTTTAAGCAATGTAAAATTTGATATCCGCTGTCGTTAGTGGAAAATTTTAGTTTTGCATGAAATTGAAATATGAATTTCGTGATGGCCATATCAGTGTCACTTTTAAAAAAATATTTTAGAATGCATAAAATGGAATCTTAAGAAATGAAACGGATAAAATGTAATCTTAAGAAAGCAGGTTTGAGTCGAACTAAAAAGTATCCAAGAGTCTATTCTCGTTGGATACATCTATTGGGATATTTAGATTTTTAGATTTTGGAATGGAAGAGTCAGTTGACATGGCTAACGCACAATCTAATTTGTTTAGAGCAAGCTCAAATCTGAATGTGCTCAGAAGTTGCAAGTTCTATATACTCTATAATCGTAAGCATCCTTTTGGCAAGACTGGGCATTCCACCCCTCAAAGGTTTCGTTAAGATTGAAGTCGATGGATCAATAATGCTTGAGAATGGAAGAAACAGATGTGGAAGGGTAATCAGGGCAACGGTGATCAATGGATCTACAAGTAGGGCTATAAAATCACAACCGTTCTCCTATCTACTGGTAATCTTCCAGGAATCACTCATGCGCTTCGAAACCTCTCCTCTTCCCTTCCCATTCTCTTTCTCTCTCTTTTTTTTGTAACCATTAGATTAACATATTTCAACTGTTTAGATTTTAATTTTTTATAAACTATTTATAAAAAAATTTAAAAAACATTTAGTGCATTTTTGAACCATTAGAATTAAATTTTAATATAGTTTGTAATTTATTATTTATTTATTTTCATAATTAATATTCTAATAATAGTTTTAAAAATATTTAAATTTGAATCGTTAAAATATTAATCTAATGGTTTAAAAAAAAAAAAGAAGAGAAAAGCATGGGAAGGGAAGAGAAGGGGTTCTGAAGTGATCATTCATGGTCTTAATTTATGTTGGGCTTGATCTTTTAGAAAAAATTTAATTGTTTTCTAATTGTATAGAAACCACTACTGTAAAAAGTTGTATAAGTAGCACATATTTTGAAGCATTTTCTTAAATAAATGCCATGGCTAAACATTAAATTTATTTTGGTAAAGGTGCAAATTTACTTATTGTAATATTCCAAAAGAGTACTAGGCACTATAATAAAATGTTGGTTGCCACATCCTGATAATTTTAATCTTAAAAATGGGGAATATAAAATAAACTAAGGGCTAGTTAGTGTAGTAGACATAGAGACGAAACTGTAACATCTTAATTTTTTTTATTCCTAGGATTTAAATATTTAAAAATTGAAAAAATGGGGTTTAACCTATTATTTCCTCAATTTTAAATAGGGTCTTTGACTTCAATTTATCCTAAATTTTTTCTTTTTCCCGTTCCCGTCTTTAACTTCAGTTTATCCTGAATGTTTTCTTTTTCCCGTTCCCCTTTTCATCTTCTCTCCCCCTCTGTTCTCAGCCTTGCCCTCTCTCCCACGTTGTTCTTCATTATTACAGATTATTTTGGCAAGTAAAATTACTTCTAATTACAAATCTTCCTTTATGAAAGTTGTTCTACTCAATTTTGTGTTGCTTAAAGAAAATTTTTAAATATATAGTTTAAAACAAGTGTTGAGTTTTGATGAGTATTAACTACAATA